TGTCTTCATCATTTACATGAATAATTATTTCTAGGAAAGGCTTATTGACTAAGAAACTGTCTTCAACATCAATAACATGCCTGATGCAGCTACTCCAAAGTATGGAGTCAATTTTCTCGGTTTTTTTGAGAATTATTTCCACAACCGACGAACTTAATGAAGGTGTAATGTTGGGCTTACGTACCCAGTGTTTCAGTTGACTCCAAACTATGTAGTTCAATGGGATTTAGCACGCAATGATACGAAGAAAGTCGCACTGAATAAGACCAGATATCAAACGAAACAACATTAAGGGTCAAGTGACATTCACTGTGGCGTTTATATGTAGGTATACCCAGGTAAATAATAATACAACGGTATTCCGAAAGTGTTTGGTCTTTTCTACCTATGCTGTGGGCCCTATTTTTACAACCGCTTCGCTTGACTCATCCTCATCTCGCTCCTGTGCAGGTGTTTATCCATAAATAGAAGGGTAATAAACAATATTTGACAGAAGTTCATACTTTTATCGTAATACTATGGGCGGCTTTAAAAGTTAGGTCTGCCAACTACAGTGTCCAGTACTATACCAGTCCGCATAACCGCCTACTGCAATAAACGGTCGGATACATGAATGTTTCTTTACCTGTGAGGGAATCGGTGCCGTTTTGTAAACTTCTTTAAAGACAGTCTTGATGGACACATTTACAGCGGGGCAAAAAATAAATCCTCCTAAGCGCATTACCCGCAGTGAAGTCACCTCCAAATATCAGTAGCCAAACTTTTACCTGCCACCAGCTATTGCTACTGTAAAACAGATAATCCCCTGCCGAGTTCTCCGCCCTGAGCAGAGGCTTCTTACTGAGAAGCTGAGAAGTAGAGTTCCCTCAAACATATAAGGCGTTTATGACTTCACACCAATTTGACTCCCATTATAATTCAATAGGCCGTCACAACCGGATGTCTTAAACCCGCTCACCGATACCTACCTGAAAAGACCTTTTCTGGTAAAAGCACAGGGCAGGACTGAGTTTTGCATTTACCGACAACTGCGCCTTACGATTTTTTTATTTCAAGTAAAAACAAAGTAACTTTGTACTCACTCATTTTTTATTACAGCAAATTAGTTAGAATTTTGACATACACAACTATTTACTTATTAACTACTACTACTTATTTATTGATCGAAATAGTCACTGTCATCATCACTCGACTCTTCTAAATTAACAATTAACGGTTTTATCAACCGTGCCCTGTACTGGTCTTTTCCTGAATTTATTCTTCAAAAAGGCACTGTGTTTTGTAGCTTCTGCTATAAACCACACTTCTATTTACAAATATATGTTTTCGGATCATCGGCAATCGATTTTTTGCTACAATATTTCGAAAAGTATTTAAGTATAAATTGCTACAAACATACTAATTAAATGACCTATTATTATTAATTTTTATTTATTTGTCACTATTTAGTGTAAGACAACAATTTTTAAAAATTTTATTTATCTATGTATTTTTTATTAAAAATATTAAGCTTGATAAACCTGTTTTTATAATTTGTAAATAAATTTAGTTGTGTTATTACACTTCTTTTCAATTTTTGGAGGATATGCAACTGCATATCTCTGCATATATTAATAAAGTTACAGCATATTTGCATAAATTTCATGCATATTACATGATCATATTTCTCAAAATTTTGTTGCATACTTTTCGCTCTCTAGTCATGTATTATTTTTAATATAACAGCAATATGAATGTACCCTCTGGCCTCTGGATTTGAAACAAAGGACGGTGACATCGTCAAAATTATTTGATTTATCAAAAAACTTAGTGGACCAGTTTTACTTATTACAGATTTTATGTTTTTTGCCCTCAGTATCTTAATATTTTCAAATGTGCAGAATAATGATTAAATAATTAAGGTACGGAAGAAACTTTAAAAACAAAATTACTGTTAGTCCGGTCCTTCGCGTCTCGGCCGTCCCTGGCACGTGGCATGGTTTACATTTACTAAGCTTTATGAAGGGTCGGCTGTAAAGTACTTTAAACGTCAAAGCCATAAACGCCTTATAGGTTTGAGGAAACTATACACGGCGGGGTTAATTAACTAATGAAAGAATAACTAACTTTCTAAACAAATGCTGAATTATTTCTCAAATATTTTCAAATCCGACCCTGCACATTAGCAGGTATGTACGGCAACGTACCAGATCCATAAAATTCACATACTCGTACATATTTATTTCTAGTCCAACTTTACTTTATCACCAAAACCATGAAATTTCAGTTAAATATTAGGAGGTGTAATATATTTACATAAACCTTACGGTACATTTATGAGGACATGTTTATTTTTGGGTAAGGTGACAGTAATTTGCACCACAATGGACATATACAACTTTTGTAAAAACGCAAGATGTGTTATCTTATCTGAACTGACTGCATACGAAATAAGCTGTGAGGCATCCACAAAATAAAATCTAAGGTATTTCACGAATTCGTGGCAGTTTAAAACTAAGCGCATCACTTTTGATTTCATTGGAATTGAAGACAAATTTTGTTTTATAACTGTTTCTATAAGAAAGTAGTAACACAAAATTCATAATAATACAGTTGCATAACTAAACTGTCTAGCAAATTTGAATTTAAAAATGTTTTGCGTAGGAATATGATTATTTAGACGAATACTTTGTTCGTTTAATGCTTCATCGTAAAATTTGCTTTTCATATAGGTAGTAATTTTAAAGTAATTTTGACCGATCAGCTTCTGTGATGAAGTTCCTGCTTATATTTTTTATATACGACTCCCAACAATTTTTCACTATTACAGAGGCATGTAAATTTAATCACGCATGTTGCAGATACTTATAAACATTATTATCACAACAATCATTTCACATGTAGAAAAATTAGCAAACGTTAATTAGATGTTAAAAAACTATTTCATAAATTATACAAGTCTCCATAGCTAAATTTACAAGTCTCCATAGCTGAATTTTAAATACCGGAATTTTACTACAGAAAAATCATGGTAAAAATCAATAAATCAGATACTTGAATATTCATTATCAAAATATATATAATTAATAAAATTCCGACGATGCTTCAACATTCAAAGTAACGACGAAGCCTAAATGAGTGCTGGGTACATTTGAAAAGCGCCAAATGCTTTTACAAAAAAAGGTAACAATAAAGCTGTGTAATTGAAAAACCCTATTACGTGGAAAAAACTGTCTTCATCGAAGTTCCAAAACAAGTTAAGCAGACGTAGTATACGTAAACATATCATTCCCACATCTATTCTTATACATAACAGTACACACACATTTATAGAATCTAATATGTGTAATGGCACGTTGATCAATATAATAAATTACTTACTCATTGAAAGTCCTAACTACTCAAGCCGATCCTGTATAAAATGGAACTATACACGTTACACGGTGCAAACGATAATACATATTCTTAAGAAAAATTACAGCAAAATTGTGTAACTGATTGTGACAATAAAATATCGTTATGATGTAGCGAGCATCACGTAATATAAAAGATGAAAAATAGGTTGTGTCTAGATTCTAGAATGTCTGTTCATTGATATCTTGTCCATATTTCTTTACTTTGCTTTCAGAAAAAAGAGGAGAAATGTATATTTTCTTCGTAAATAAGTAGGTACGAAATAATATTATTTGTATTTGACATGGAGTCAACAATAATAAAGTATTTGTTGTGAAAAGTAAACTCATCAACATTTCTGTTAGGTAGGTAGCAATAATTAGTCAGTATTTATACTATTAATTCTAGAGTTCAGCTTATTCGACTACCTGCAGAGGTATAATTATAGGGGTACATGAGTGAAATGTCCATAGTAAATAACAGTCCGAACATTATCAATAATAAAACAGCAAGTTTAACACGAATTGCTGAATAATATTTTCTCCTGTCTACTATTTACTTTATACTTTTCGTTACTTTTGCAAACACGTCTCTCCTACATAACATTAAATATTATATAAGGCATAATAAATAAATTTAAAAAGTGAACATCTTGAAAGAAAAGGGAAACAGTTGACGTACAAGGGATGCGGAAGGGCTGGAATGAATAAGAGTCAAGGTGAAAGAGCACTAAAAATCCTGAAACGTGAAAAAAATGTAATTTACCATTTATGAAGTTTTTATTAAAAAAATCGATGTCTGGGTAATGTGATTCCAGTTGTACTTATAGTACTTCAACAATGTAGACAATGGAAAAACCAATGACGTTGTATTAAAGTACAACGTCCTTAGACAAACCGCTCATCGAAATTTGCTTAGGAAACGGATGTGCAGACAGGCAAATAAAATCCAGTCGCACTTTCTTTTACATATTCTACTTACACAAGCTCGTATTCGAAAACAAAAACTTGGGAGCGGGACCTGAAGGTGGTGGTTACCTACATAATATTTTACATGTTCTTTATCATAATTTTAAAGTTTGCTCACACCACGCTCTGAATTAATGATTAATTCAACAAAATCTGATGCAGCCAATTCTTTTAAAAACTCGGAATTAGTGATCATCAGAACTACAAAACTCATTGGAAAAGAACCATCAAAGTTCCTGTTTACAACAGTTTTAGCATTTGTCTTTTATCTAAATCTTAGTGTACAAAGTAGATAATTCATTTACATAAACACAATGCGACTACAACGCTATTTCCTGGTCACTCGTAGTCCACCTATTTTCTAAATAAATTTTGACAAAATACATTATTACAGCTTCAACGTGAACTGACCTTTCTTATGAAAACAAAATTACTCCATTTACTTAGTATTATGAACTGCATTATCTATTACGTGTAGTGAATAAAATGTGTAAATTGCGACATAATAATTATCTAGTTGTACACACAGACATTTTTAAATAAAAATAATCGCACATCCAACCTTAGAATGTCCGCAAAGCGCAAGTAAACGAAGTCGTTTTGAACCTGGCACGTGATTTTATCTATACTACTTAGAGAGATAAGAACTATAAAATAAGCCGGCAGCATTTCTAATTTCAGTAGACACCTTCACTCAGTGGTGGTGACTTCGACACTCGAACAAATTCGTGGAGCGAATTTTCAGTGTTTCTTAAATTTTTTACAATGGAAGAACGGACTTTACAACCATTTATTCACGCGAGCAAAGTGTGTGACTTTTCATTTTTGTGCCAAATTAGTGATAGTTTATAGCAGTAGGTTTTTGTAAATAACTCATAAAAATGGAGTTTAGAAATTACGGAACTTGTATTGAACCAACAGTATTAACTGGAAAAATGGAAACGATCCCCGTTGTTCATAGAAGAATCTCACGCCACTATGAAGGGACTAAAATGCTGGGAATGTGCAGAACTTCTTTTTTGTTCTCCGTTTATTTGATAATTTATGTGATGTTTTTGTTCAGCGGTGCTGCCGTGTTTAGTGTGTTAGAAACTCCCCCTGAAAGGGCTACCAAAGCAAGGGTAGATGGGGCTATACAGAAATTTTTGAACGATAACCCAAGTGTGTCAGGTTGGTACAATGGACAAGCAATTCTAACGAAATTAGTTCTTTTTCAACTAGACGGGATGTAATATGTTTAATATTTTTTGTTGGAAGTGAACCAAGAAAGTCAAACAAACACTGTATTCGGAACGTCTGCTACAATGTTTTGTTATCGGTTGATGATAAAAGTTTTTGAACGTTATGCTCAGGGGATAAGAAACAAAATTGGTTCAGATGCGCACAAAAGTTAAAATTAGATAACGTATAACAGATCAGAAATATTTTAAATTTTGATGCCATCTGAGATTCGGCTTAATAAGCATGAGACCTTCTTATTCCACTTTATTTTCACGTACTTTAGACTTTCTGTGAAAATTTCTCATTAGAAAGTAGTTATTGAAAACATATTAATAAATAATTCATTGTGTTCTTTCTTTATCTTCAAGTAAAAGTTGACTATTTGTCAGAACTTCTATGTTTGATTGATTTCACAAATGAGATGATATTTCTGTAAACTTATTGGGACCTACTTTTTCAGGAATATCGGTTCTGTTGAAACTCTATGGTATGAACATGTGTTGAAAAACTATACCCTAGATTTCAGAACCATTTTATTTCTACTGTTTATAATATTATTTTTTTATTATGTTAAAAATATATTTTGCAAATCACTTAGCTACTTATACTAATACCGAAAAACGTGTATTTAATGTGTGACATTCTGAACGAAAAGAACAATTACTTTATGATTATAAAAACAAACAAAAATATTTAATAAACACGGAAGATACCGATAAGTTTGGACCATGTGTTTCGACTAATGCGACACACGCCCCAAGTAGAGTAAAATATGGAATAACACTTGTAAACTTTGTAGATATTACGATATCTAACTTATTTGAACTAAATGTATTGATATTTTTAACTTAAGAGTGATAAATTGATAAACATTATCTTTACAAAATTTTAAAATCGTGTCGGAACACAGCATTGTGAATCTAGATAATTTTTCAATAAATTGTCCTCACTGACAATAATTTCATACTAAAAATGTTATGCATCATTAGATTTCCTTTTACCTGAGTTAATCACAATGAATTTGTAAGCATAAAGATATTCTTTTTGCCTTGATACTCTTATTCGGTTCCTGGTATCGACGTTTTAGTAAGGACTCAACAACAATCACTTTTGTAGCTTACGTTTCCAGATTTTTGTCGAAAGAATTCAATGAAGACTGACGTGATGAACGTATTTTTTAGCATTTTTTGTCAATTATGTTCTTATCTAAAAAAATATGAACTTAACGTAAACTACAATTTAATTTAATGACGTAGGTGGTGACATTTTGTGCGTTTTAGTAGAAAAATTTCACTAAATTTATCCCGTTTGATCGAAAAACAGCATCCTGCATATGTCAGTTATTTAAAAACATCCTATATAATCTGTAGAACAGAAACCTTGAACTTACGAGTACGATTCTAAATTCATCTTTTCTTGCAGATCAAGCTCTTGAAGAACTAATTAGTGAAATAGTAAAAGCTAGCAACCGAGGTGTCTCAGCAGCTAGAAATGCTTCTGGGGAGCCAAACTGGAGTTTTGGACAATCATTGTTCTTCTCTAGTACAGTAGTGACGACAATAGGTAGCTTATTCAGAAAAAAGGACTTCGCAATTACTAAAATTCTTCTTAATAGGATATGGTCACGTAACACCATTAAGCAGAAGCGGCAAAATATTTTGCATGCTGTATGCTATGGTAGGGATTCCATTAACACTAGTCCTTCTCTCTGCTTTGGTTGAACGACTGCTAATTCCGACTGTGTGGTTACTGCAATGGCTGAATTCACGCCTTGGGCATTTGTATCAACCTTTCAACATTCGTCTTTTGCACCTATTTATCATAGGTAAGTAACAGGAGTCTGAAAATAATTGAACTTGATACAGCAACCCGCCCTCTCTAAGTTATGACGTGATTACGTTTACAACCAAATGAATAAAATTCAGACATGATACATAATACATGATCCGCAATAAATTTTTTATATGTGCAGATAATGGCAAAACTGAAAGACAACTCCTTACACCGTTGCTATGGCAATGACAGCATCTTCAAACATTTTTTAATGGGATGATAACATTTTTTTTACTTTGGAATCTGTAAACAAATTTACACGAACGCTTATATTGTGATAATTGGTCAAAGAAAAAAATAATCCGATTAAAGCTGTTTCAACAAAATACTCAATATAACTGCTTATCTCCGTTATTTTTTGCAAATGTATGAAACTTGTGATATAACAAATCCTATTAAATATTGGTTATAAAATCTAGGGAGTGTTACCGCACTTGAGGAACTAAGAAAAATTATAATTTTTATTAGGTATTGAAACTACAAACTCTAAAATTGAGAAAATGAAGTCGTATGATTCCAGTAAAACAAATGTTTAAGATAAGGTGACCAGACGTTCCGATTTGATCGGAACTGTACCGATTTCAAATTTCATCCAATAAATGTTCCGATTAAAACATTCGTTCCGTGAATGTTCCGATTTCTATAAATCTGATAAGAATAAAGATAAATCCTCAGATAAATCACTAATTTTCATGAATAGTAATTTTATTTTGTGAAAAATTGGGAACAAAACTTGTATCAATACGGTTGTCAGCACAGTTTTAAATATAAGCAAATGTCAGTACTGTTAGTATATTACAACTAAAAATTTTCAAAACAGTTATATATCTGCAGATTACGGTAGAAATGGAAACTAATGTTCCGATTTCGGACTTTTGAAATCTGGTCACCTTAGTTTAAGGATGTCACATTGCATTTCTCCCTTTACTAAAATTCACTTGTTGTACCTACTACGTGGTTTGTCACAAGCCTCATAATAATCGAAAATAGTGTTTAAAATCAACTAAAACTAAAATATCTGTGGATACACAATGTCAGTTTGGAATTTTACTCATTTATTAAAATATAACAGTCTCCATAAATCATGATATTTTTCATATTAAAGTTTCAGAAGGGATATTCTTTCTAATTGTTAACAAATAACTTTTTATGTGACATTTATGACAAAACTTAGAAATTTTGTTGATTTTGAGTGTTCTTTACTTTGCTACATATAAATACGAGGTGATTTTAAAAGGTCCTACATTAAGTTGGCTCTGAAATTTTGTGAATTTTGCCGCTTCGTTATGATAATTGATGACTATATACCCGTCGCGTATCACAAATGTCAATCATAACCTAAGTTTCGTAAGTGGGAGAAATGAGAATATGCAGCATTTTGAACTCTTTTGATTAAATACAACTAAAGTATATGATATTCACACAATGTTCTTATTTATGTTATTTTAAGACTGCAATAAATTGTTTGGGGAAGTAGGAAGTGGCAAAGTCTTATTAAAAAGGCAGTAACGGATTTTCCAAAGACAACTTGATATACGATCTTTTGGAATAAACCTACGTATATAAATGAACGGTAATATACACCACAAATGTTACTTTTAAATTAAAGCGTTAAATTATAATGATCTATCAAAGTAACAAAATTTTTGTAATCTAGTTTTTCGTTCTTTTAAAACAAATGTCGAAGACGTCATCAGTTCGAACATTGTTACCAAAATTCATTCTTGAATTTATTCCAATTTTTACGGACAACCTGTAAAAGCAGACGTCTCGGAAGCGGTTTGTGTAAACATTCGAGCGATTCAGTAATAGCTTCGTACATAATTACGAACCCTGAAACCTCGAAGGGATGAAATATGCTTCCATAGTCGGGTTCTTCGAAAAAAAAAATGAGTTCAACTGCGTCGACACGAGACTGTACGTGTTGACTTTCACAAATTACTAGGTACATTATTCATGCCGTTTATTTTATCAACACCTGACGTATCCCACTAAAGCAATCGAAATACTTTGAAAATATCTCTAAACTTAATTAAATTTCTTAATTCCAATTTAACTTTTGTTTTAGTGCTAATCCTGATCGGATTATTCCTCCTCACCCCAGCTGCCGTTTTCGCAACCTTAGAACCTGAGTGGGACTACTTAGACTCTCTTTACTATTGCTTCATATCGCTAACAACGATCGGATTGGGCGACTACATTCCGGGTGACTCCGCTAACCAACCCTATAGACCTTTGTATAAAATAGCAACAACTGGTAAACGTCGCACTTTTGAAATAAAAACGAATTTCGAGCCAATTTGATTACAGGTTATCTCTTCTTGGGGATAACTTTCATGATGTTGACATTGGCTGTTTTCTACGACATACCTCAGCTTAATTTGGGGTTACTCTTCAGCAGCAGTGATGAAACCAATATGGAGAAGGTGAGATTGGCCGGTGCCGGCATGGGACTGCAGTATGGAGCTGGATCTGTGTACAGTCCGGGCGACGACAATAGTCATCGGCAAGTTGTCAGAGTCAGATCAAGAAGAGATGACAGCCCTAGTCCTGATGAAGCGCCGCAAATGAAAGAATTTCAACTTCCTTGAGGGTGCACAATTTTTGTATGAACCAATGGGAATGGAACTGATTTTCCTTTGTTTTTTTCATAGTAATTATATAAATGACTTGAGAATTTGTCTCTGATGAAATGTTACTCAAGTTAGTCCAACCAGACTTGTAGTAGGAATTAATAAATGTTCGCCACAACACCAATACGTTTACAAAAGCCTATTCCACGCAACTATGATGTAGTAATCGCAATTGCACTGAATTAACTTATTATCTATCTTATGATCAGTACCTACGATGTAGTTAATTTATAATTTGCCAAAATATTATAATAAAAAATATTTTTACGAGATTTTAATATACATTGTTTATTTTTACAAAAATTATATTTAGAAAGGAACTGTATCAATCAACATTCTTATGTATTATTGTGTAGGTTGTAAGACTCTCATCTGTCTCAATTACTTGTGGACCAAATAAACGAAAAAATAAACACATTACGCGGTTTTTCTTCATTTCCAAAAGAAAAAGAAAGTGCTGTGAAAATCATGTTTAAATTTTATTCATAAATCCATTTATATTATAAATTATTTTGGAGAACTAACTTTCATGTCAAATTTTGACTGTTCACAAGACTACATCGACATCCATTCCACATGTTTCTTAATACTTAACTTGTTTAAGCACAACACATACTAAATCCTACATAACTTAACCTCAAAATCGCCTGTGCTTTTTGTAGTTATAAAGAAATATTTAATATTTTGGTCATTGTATATTTACATATACTCATCAACGGTCACCTAATTATCATCATTGAAACAATTTTATTCATAGATTAAATCTATATTATATGCTCACATGACTTTACATCTACGTAGAGCTTTAATGTACATACAAAATGAGTACTGATATAAAACATAAAATAATACTAGTGCTATTAGATTCAATAAAAACTCTTCTGAAACCATACTCAAAAACAACTTATTTAATGCACTTGAAGTAATAATTACGCATTGTTTTCCCTTAAATTAATGTTATAAACACATTACTAAGTCTTAGTATAAAAATGTGGCTTTAACGTAGTTCAAAATTCTACCAAACTCAGGACACGTTAAATAAATACAATGGAGTACCATTACTATTAAAATGGCCAATAGATAATAATTATATAGAGCTATTAACATTGCAACATATGACAGAATGTCATCCGAACACACATTTCTCAACGAAAAAAATAAATATGTTTTAAGGCCTAAACTGTTCTTAATTTTTTTTCTTATTCACAGTACGTATCGTTTAACGGTTAATTGAACAGTCGGAAATATGTATTGGACGCAATTCCTTTTTTAACATAAAATTCAACACACTATCACAACTCTCGGTGAAAAGAAATGTGATTAGTTCGATGTGTGAAATCAGAAGTCGAAAAATATACATACTCAAATTAGTAAACCGTAACACGGTCGATAATTTATTTTCTCGAAGACCGTTTAGTCTTCTTTGGAGCAGCTTTTGGGACTGCTTTTTGCACTTTTGATGAAGACGGTGTCGCTTTCGGCGCCTTTATATCTGGAATTAAAAAAACAAACATTTAACAAAGAAAATATTGTACTTTTTTTTAAATTTCACTATTACTGTTGCTGTACTGTTATAATCAATAATATCCCAATTAAGTTTACCGATAATAAAAGCTGACATAACTTGTGATATAATTAACACTTTATGCTATAAGTTGCTAAAAATGATATATTTTGTCACCAATTTAAATAAGCAGTGTAATAAGTGTTCTTTAAATTGTCCTTATAAATATTCTCTATAATGTAAATTCAGGAATTTCTTTTATTAGCTCTACACATTTCTTTTCTTTTTTATATCTAACCCTAAAAAATTACTGTTTCTTTTTCAAATGTTATTTATTTTTTTAACAAACTAAGTACATCACGATACCTACGAACCATTCCCACTCGAACAAGAGCTACAAGACGATGTTTTTAATAAAAACACATTAATTACGTCAGTTCCAACATACATAAATTTAATTTAAAAGTGTCAGGAAGGAGTATGTTTTTTTTGAACAATTCTGGAAAATGTAAAACCCAAGCACTCAGACACTAAGCAAATGAGAAAAATATAAATTCTATGGTTACACTACAAAATTGTACCATCGACCTTCAAACTCGTAAGAGTTCATTTGTTCAGAAAATATACTGCTAAAGATTCTATCAACGAATGCATTCAGTAATTGGCAAACAGCCCAAATTTAAATCTAATTGTTTACACTGTCAATAAAACGCAGTGAAACCAAGGTTGTTTATTATTCGAATCCGAAAACCTATTTTAGCCCCAACTTAAAGACTACGGAATCAATTAGTGAAACAACAACGTAGTCAGTTAAGTGCGCGACTAAACGTAATATTTGTTTAAATAAAACACTTCCGTATTTTTGCATATTCAGATTCTTCACTACAAAACCAAGCCTACTTACTAGGTTATAAATAACTGATCAACAATGTACATTTTTACACTTCATAGAGGTAATACTATGGAAGTAATGATGGTTTCAAAAAATTTAACTTTGTAGGTGCTTCAGATAGGCATATCGATCGTTTTTTGTCACACTTCATCCTTCTTTGGTGTATTTACAATATTAAAATATTTTAAAATGGTACAAAAATAATAATAAATAAAATAAAAATTTCGACATCAAAATCCGATTTAGATTTATTCGAGATCAAGAAACACATCCTGGGACAAAACTTTATGACGCATCAACTTTTCAGTTGTTCTGGTTTTAAGAGAAGAGCTTTAAAAAATGGACAGTCATGTAGAAATATTTAAAATATTTGTTTTTATAAGATCTAATAAAATATTGTTATTATACTTTTCGAAACTGCGTTAAAAAACACAAAAGTGCTTTCAAAACTAACTTTAATAACTTTTTTTTAAACAAAATTTGATGACATTATAAAAATTGGTGTTATGCTATAAGATAGAACTTTCCTAGCCCCTGAAGACAATCCAGCAAATTCAGTGTTTTACGGAAAAAAAAAGAAAAAATTTATACCACCAATCTCAGTGAAGAACAAAATCAAGTGGCCCGTGGGGTCCTCAAACCCGTAACAGTATCGGAGTAGCGATATTCATGCAAAAATCTTCCCCAGAGTACAAAATCAATGCGGATTCATAAAGCACACGGAAATGAGTATGTTATCTTATAAAATTTAAATAGTATTTACCCTGCAAAATGTTGAGATGACATCCTCAAATTGTTGGTGGGCATGATTAGACAAATTCTGGTTAGCGTTTTACCATCTACACGATATTTCTAACGTACACATAAAATTTGACAACGATCTGTCTAATAAAAATCGACACAGACAACAGACAGATCTAGTAAAGCGCATTCACCGTACAGGGTGTCTTCTTTAATTGATGCAACCCCCCTGCAACTTTTTATTTTTGTATCGTGCTAGAAGATCTAGAACATATTCTTTAATTCTCACAGTGGAAATGACGTCAACTTTATATTTTTAAATGGAACACCCAGTATATTCGTTTGCAAAAAATGATGCAATTGCATTTTTTACTACAAAACTCAAAAAGAACCAATATTTTAAAAATAATAACAACAAATTTATCCACTGAAATTGATAAAAATTAATATTTCTGTACGAAAATTGAAAAATCAACAACCAAGTTTTCATCCACATAGTTTAAATAATTTTAATCCACAAAAACCATCATTAAATAAAATTCAGACCACTTCAAAACAAGATTTTAATTTTTGAACATCCCGAATGTTTTTTGTTCAACATCCAACCAGGCTGTGAATTAAATTTGAGTACAAGTATCTCACAATAAAATTTCAAAAATGTCTCCATTTTGTTCGATACACATTTCCACACGTCTATGGATGCCTTATGTGGCATTCGTTATAAATGTGGATTTAATATTGTGCAATTTCTCTGACGGTTATCTCTCCATTCATCAAAGTAAAGGTTATCTTTTATGAAACCCCAAAGGAAATAATCAGTGGGATTCAAATCTTGGAGGCCATCTTATGAAGCCCCTATTCCTCATCCAACGGTCTTAAAATATTTCTATTAAAAAATATACACGTTTGTCGGTTTTGCCCTATGCTGTTGAAAACACAAGTTTTGGATTTGATATGTTTTAAGTTTCTTGATGTGAAAAAGAAACTACAGATATTAAGAAAAAAAAAAGTGAAATATAAGCCCCGCCCACCCACCCTATCTCAATTGTGATAATTTTTTATTCGTCGTGAGCCGAGGGATGGAGCGTACTTGCAATCCTCATTTTTCGCCAAGAAATGATCATGTGAAATATAATCATAAGTAGATAATCGTGTTGTTCAAAGAAGATTATACCATGTATTAAATAAAGAGGAAGTTTAAACTCCACCTACACCCGCCCTGATCTCAACCGTGATGAATTTTTCATTCATTGTCACACCGACGGGCGGAGTATAATTGCAAAATCGATATTTTCAAAAATTTACCATTTTAAACAAGTTTCTTGTTGTGAAAAAGAACTGCATATGTTAAGAGGAAAAAAAAAGATAAAAAATACGTAAATATTGCTCGCCATTCAAGTTGATACAAAAAAATATGGTCTAATTATGGTATTATTTACCATGCACTAAATTTCGAACCTCTTTGGTTCCCCTTTCTGTAGACTAGCACTGAGTATCATGTCTATTGCAAATAGTTTTATTGTTGAATAAAGTTTCGTCTATTCAAATAATGTTTTCAAAAAATAATTGTACTTCTTGGCTTCTTGTTGGTAGTCACTCTATAAATTCCTGTTACTTTCCATATTTACACGGATACCGAGCGTTCCATTAAAAAAAATTAAATTGGTGTTATTACCGATTCTACCGAAAGTGATAATAAGAGGGTGTGACAGATATTTTAATATGACATGCTCAAAGAACACTAGGCTTATCTTTAAAAATAAAAGTTATAATATAGGCATTTTATCAAATAAAAAAGAAACCATGTATCAGTAGTTTCGTATCTGACACTACATCAATGTGTCTTGCATTTTTTGGCGTGGAGCTTTTCGCGAATAACCATATATGTATAATTTCAAGTTAAAACAGAATGGCACATGCTTGAAAATTATTGTTTAGGTGATATAACAGCTCAAAATACAATAAAATCATTGCATAAAAAATATCTACATAGAACTAACTAAATATGTGATTTACTACTGTAATACATAAATGTAAATTTTTATTTCCCGTTCAGTACATTTTTGCGCAGTATGCAACCATATATACAACGAATTATTTTATTTTGTAATAAAAAAGTTGTATTGCAACTACTGCAGTTCATATAGCATAATACAATCTCACCTATAAACACAATATTTTATTGAATTGCCAAATATGAATCGTGTATCGATTAAAAACATTTGCATCAACAATTAAAAGTCGTATGTAGTTTCCCCACAATTAATTACTTGATTTTAAGCAATGAAAAAGTCTGTTTATGAATATACGGCTCCATTAAAAACGTTAAACTCCCGGTCGTGACTGAAATAGTTTGCAACAGTTGAAATAAAAACTATAGTCCTCGCCTTCACGCTCGGACAATTAAAAGTTGCTTTCGTTGATGCATGAAAAGTGATTAATAAAAAAAAATTAAACAATTCTACACAATGCAATACCGTTAGACTCGTGATTAAAAAACATGCTACTTTCATCACGCAAAATCTCACTTTCGGCGGAACATATTAAAGCACAACTACTTACTTTTCGCACCTGATTGACTTTTAGTATTGACTGCGCCTTTCCTAGCCACTTTAGCCAAGACACGCGCTTTTTTCTGATCTACCACCGGACTGACTTTATTATGATTTTGATTATCTCCTCTTCTTTTCGCCCTGTCAGTTCTGCTAGTCACAGTCGTAGTCGGTTTTTTCGCTTCAACAGGGATTACTCTCTTCACCTTGGCAGTAGGTGCGACCCTTTTGGGAGGAGCTCTTTTCGTCGGCTTCGCAACCACTTTACGCACTTTGGGCTGATCAGGTGACTTTGTTGTAGTACTGGATTTCTTACTGGTTCTCAACGCCGAAGTAGCTTTGCGTTTAGTTGCCTTTCGTTTTTTCAGTTGACTTTCTTCTTTGTAGAGAGAAAGATCGACTATAAGACAATGAAAATTAGACTGAATCAGCCAATAAAAATGCTTGACTTACTGCCATCTGGATGTTCTTCCGTTAACGAAGGTGATGTCACTTCACCCTTTTCAACAGCTAGAGATCTCTTAAGAATACTGTCTGTTCGTTCCTTTTCTGCGGGAGGCAACCTAAATCGTCCCTTATCTACACGTACCAAGTTTAGGTTTGTTAATATACAATCAAAATCTGAAAAAACACCATCAATACTAAAAACAAATTCCAAATTCACGAACACACCTGTATTATCGTAAAAGTCGGGAGTGTACACTTCGCCGGATTTCTCCGTTTTGTCTTGAGAAAGCCAGCGAATGCGTATTTTTGGTGAGCTCTTATAAATATTTTGTACAGCTTGACATATATAAAAACTACCCTCTGAGTTTCTTACAGCCAAAAATTCGTTTCTGCAACAAAAACGACAAATCAAAATTTTACCAAATGAAAACGGACGTTCACTAACTTGTAAAACACAATCAGCTTGTCATCGTTTGTTCTACTTCTCGGCGTAGATGAGCTGATTTTTGTGATAATTTCAATTTCTGGCAACGGACTTTGATAAGGCTGTGTCTTGATCCTCGTTCTTTTACTTTTTGTACCGACAGTAGGTGACTTTTGGGTTGATGGCGTTTTGACGTCGACTTTCGAACTCTTCGGCGAATCTCCATCGGGTTTGGGCGTTTTTGATTTTCTTGTGGGCGTTTTCGGCGTTGTCGTTTTAGAGGCGGGCGTGGTTTTTTGCTGAAAAAAAAAACTTTGTAAGAAAAATCAAAGGAACGTTTTTCTAAACGCGAATAGAAAAATATACCTGCTCTCTGCAACTTAACAGAAAATATATATTTTTTTTATTAATGATAACTTTGGGAAGAATAAAACAGTGGCAATAAAAGAATTAAAACGGTACAACCTCCTGTCTTGCTATTTTTAAATATAACTGTATCCCATATTCTATGCATAAGTTTTTGTTTTGCCTTTTTTATTGGCGAATAATGACGTAATTTACATTAATGTAAACTTTCGAATTTGAACATTATGTCATCAACTTGTTCTCTATAAGGTCTATTATTACCAGTTACAAGGTCGTCAGTTGTTTATTTTATTTTTCTTAGATAAATCTATACTTTAAAAGTTAGTACTCAGGAGGTAATAGAGCGGATTTATGTTTAAAAGTTTTTTTGACTCTTTTCTTCTTAGTAGATACGAGTACATAAAACTCAATTTAATGACAAAAAGTTAATACTCGCAACCGAAATACATAACTTGAAAATTATTATGCAATAAAATACACATATTTTCAAATAAATTAATCTCGTGTAGTTTGTTTGGAATTGAAATGGAAATGAAACAGTAACCCCAACATCTTAAAATTTCTCAAAACTAGGGGGAATAACTTTATTTTACGTATTTGATTAAAATTTGTAACTGTGCACAACACCCCGTTAATTATAATAGAAATTTAATGGATTACTAAAAACGGTTTCAATCTGTTTCCCGGATCGCAAATTTAAATTATGAAAGCATTTCAATTTTTTTTTAAATACGGAAGTTATTTAATATTTTAAAACGTATTAATTTTAACTCTGGATGTTGTAACTCTTCAACAAAATCTCCACGATCTTGAAAAATTATTATTGATTAACATAAAACATTCAACATTTGCTAATTCAGTAATATTTTATTTTTACATCCGTCGATGTTGTCGAAATTTTTCGACAACCGGGATAAAAAATTGGTCTAAGTTTCTCGACAGAACTTCCCTCGCTCCTGAATTACAAGTCCAACAAATCCCGCTTCTTTGAAAAACTATAAAATTACATTTTGCGATGTTTGTTTTGTGATAACCTCTATAAAGTAAAAACCTGCGGCATAAATAACAGCCTCGACGCCGTGAAAAATATATTTAAACCAGATAACCAACGGGAAAAAATTCCTCTCAGCAATAATAAGCTTAGCTTCAAGTGTTTGTTTATAAATCGGAAGAATGTCATGTGGAAATTTGTTTTATTTAAATGAGTTTGTCGCCTCAAAATAGGGCTAAAATTATTAATTAAGCCACAGTCGAAGATAATGTTCTGAATATTACTATTATTCTTATTAAATAAAGACGTGCTAGTCTCACCTTTTCGAGAAAATGTGGTGACTCGCTCTTAATTTGATCAATAAAAATTTGTTATGACGTCACAAACATCGATAATACACAGCACGAGTGAAAAAGACAATAAAAAGAAAAAGCGAGGTTTGGCATGGTAAAATATTATACTGTTTTTTTTTTTTGTGAAGATTTGGGCGTTTAGAGAAAAAACTAAAGTATAGGAGCTTATTATCGTATAACATTTAAATTATTCTAAAATAGAATTCTTTTAAATAACGTTCTCGTGTGGAGATGATTAACCAAATTTTGACTAGCGTTAGCCATCTACATATTTCTAATACACGTACAAAATTTGACAACGATTGATTTAGTAGTTTCGGAGATTACGTGTCTAATAAAAATCGACACAGACGACAGACAGACAGACAGCTAACGCTCAGGAAGTCAAAATAATTCCAGAGTACTAAATACATTTCGGGAATGAATTGCACATTTTTTTTAAAGAACTGCGCTTTAACAACAAAACAATTTAATAACATTTATTGATTTAGTAAATTTCGATGGTGTTTCTTCATTGCCTCTGATCATAAAACTTCTCAAGAAACAGCTTCAATTGCATTTTTTGACTTAAAACGTAAGATGTGAAAGTGTTTATTAGTATTAAATTACCGTGAAGTTATGCTCTGGACCATAAATAAAAACACATTTTTAAGCAAACAAAGTTATTTGTATAACCAACGGAATGAAATTGTAGAGTAGAAATACTATGAGAAGAAGATGTTGATGCACCATTCTGTTACTCACTCTTTCGCCAATATATTCTCATATATTTTTCTTTAGACACAATTATACTTGTTACAAGTATGAATGATTATTGAAATTCGCTAATTATAATTCACTTATAAATTATAAAAAGATGAAATACATCTGCAAGGGCACCCATGTGGACGTGTTTACGTCAAATATTAAATTTTATTTTTGTTATTATTGTGTTCTTTTCAAAGTATTTATTTGCACTTGTATACGCAGGATGTTCTGACGAGACGGGATTGAGTTAAAAATTCATTGGAGACAAACAGTTGTACGGTTTGTAAGGTAAGCACTTCCACCAAAATTACAGAGACCAAAACACGATCACGCGTTATTTTTGATAAACGTCATTTATATTCTGTTCACACTTTAAAAATCCGTCACCTGTTGAGTATGTGTTCGATGGTAATGTGCTTATTAATCAACAGTTTGCCATTAGCTGACGCAAGCGCATCAAAAAAAGATCGAATTAACACACGAGATTTATAAATACTATCCTACTTCCAAAGTAAATTTCATTTCTTACAATACGGGGGCTAGATTACAATAACACTGACTGACACAGGTACTTCACATGAAAATTTACAACTTAAACTTGCGTTATATTATTTAAAACGTATAATAGTTAAATCTGTCATCTGCTGCACCTAATTCCATACAACAAAAATGACTTTAACGTATATTATTCTTTTTCTTATAGACAAGAGCTGTGGACAATCGATGTGGTAATAGTCGCTAGGAGAGTCACAATATCATTTATGTAAATACTAAAATATAACGGACCTAAGACGGAGCCCTGACAAATACAACAGTACACTGAGCAAAATGGATTCTGTCCTGAAGCCCCTCACTTAAAAACATTCGGTACTTTGCAAATAGATTCCATACTCACTTGCTCTTTCTCCTTCGGTTTGGGCGGAGAACTAGAACTAGCTTCCGCACTTGAAGTGTCCACAACTTCTGGTTGCGATTCCCTCGAACTACTTTCCGAATTTTCCGCCACCTCCTCAGTTTTGGGCGGTTCGGTATCATTTGCTGTGGCCGGCACAGCCTCCACATTGTCTACCGATGGCGCACTCGTCGCCGCACTCGGACTATTACTGACCGACACTTCCGGTGTCGACGATGGCGTCTCCTCCGCCGTCTTGCTGCTCTCTTGGCTTGGCGGTTTTTGTTCAGGTAAGGCCGTGGAAGCTGGTTTTTCCTCTGATCGTTCGCATATTTTCGGCGAACTGGGTGGCAGCGGCGATTTGTCTCTTGGTAAGGACACGTGATTTTCTTGAGGTTCAGGTTTCGTCGGAGATTTTACCTCCGCGGTGCCGTTCGACTGAGGTTTGTCCGGCGACGACTCCGCTGGAGGTGGTGTGTGAAGAGGTGGTTGTGTGGCGGGTAGACTCTGACTGACGGGAGGTATTGGGTTCTGCTGAAAAAATAAGAGAACAATTAATACGACGCAGTAAAAGGAATGTATTTAATTTTTTGCATCTCCTTTAACATAATTGAGAATTCCTTATAGGTATCTTAGGTGTAATTTAAAACCACTACAATGTTGAACAACATCAAGTGTAGTTGTAGTTACACACAAACAGTATGCAGCAATTAGAGTTGACATGTTAATTTTCGAAATTAATTAATAATTTATACAATGTAAATTCAAACTTTACTGTATCCCAATCCAAAGCGCCACTTCGAGATGATCGATAAAATAAATCCGTTCATATTTTTTTTAGACGATCCGTACCTCTAAAAACATACTTCCAAAAACAAAAGCACATTTTACGAAGCGGAAGCAATAACATCTCCAGGCGTATTTTTTAATAAAGATTTCACAATTTTTTTGAAGATAAACTAATCAACTTTTCTGAAACGATGAATAAATGGATCCGTAACACAATTGTAATGATTGACTAAAATTTGTAACAAATTCGTTGCGTAATTTCTGAGTGATCTCCTGAAATTTGATGATTGAACTTTATGTTAATGAAGTTCAGATTGTTGCTTTAGTGCATACAATATTCAACGTGAGTGTAGGCTATAAACTCTGATGGAATTTTATGAAAAATTCGTACTTCCACCAACTTACAGGCAGTACAATGATTAAATTAAATCTTCGCTACGTTCGGGACGTTAAATCATTAATATGCTAGGTAATTTACATTATTTCACTAACAGAAACATAAAATCCGTACTTCCAACTTTGACAATGGCATTTCGCCTGAAACAAATCTTATTTGAAATGTGCTGCTAAAGCACATATACTAAAGTATCGTTATTGTTTCGGAGATTGTCTGTTTAATACGAGTAGTTTCCCATTAATCAGCAAACAGGCCACAAACGGAAATGAGAAACTTGCACTTTCGTATTTTACCATTTATGAAATACCGGAACAACAACAGTTTTGAGTCCTATTACATTATTTTTCCTTTCAAATCGTATTAAACATGACCATATAGTAAATCCTTCAACTTGCGACGTCTTCAAATTGACAACCTGTCCTTTTCATCACCTGCTTGCTTGTCAAAAACAACTTGAAGACGTTTTTGTTCATCGGATCATTAATTACTCTCAAAATTTGTACTAACTGAATCAATGAAGTTTGGTGTGAAGTTAATTAAATTCAACAACTTTTAAGAAAGCAATTCCTAGTCAGATTAAGCATCGCATTAAAATACGAAAAATTATTGTGTTATATTTAACGAAACGAAACCTACAATTTCCAAAACAACGAAAATCTTTTTGTTTCTTTATTATTACTGTTCATATTACTGCTATTTCATACATACCATAAGCTTCCGTACAAAATTAAGAAAATCTCATATACAGCTAGCGTCCAATCCAATGTAAAATCAAAAAACACGTAACATTACATAAAAACAAAATGAAAAGACAGAAAACATTTAAAATATAAACACGAATAACGTTAATTACAAAAAATCTGAAGGTATTAGGCCCTGAAGCAATTCTTAATGATATGCCTTATTACTTAAAATAAAAATTGTGTGGATTATTAAACTACAGGTAAAAGGTATGTTATGCTATGTTTCAAGTGAATTTTTTTAATAAAATTTTGTGACGACGTCATCAACAAAGACAAATATATCAATTTGGATGGGGAATGTAGTACCGTAATCCCAGAATTTCAGGAAAATAAGATTAGCGATTTTTGATGTAATCAATAAAAAAATTGCTTTATTCATTAATTTTCAAATTTGAAAAAATATAGCTGCAGTAATAAAACACAGATCCAAAATATTTCGCCTACTTAAGTAGAATTTGTCTACCAAAACCTTGAGACGTCATCAAATATACAAATAAATTTTGATTAGCGACTTTTCATATTTACCATAATCCTAAACGTTTGTAGGATTTCAGAGCAACGAATCTAAATTTCTAAATCAGATTGGAAAAAGTTGTGTAAATTTGATTTTTTTTTTTTTCAAAACTATAGACATCAAGCTCAATAATAAGGCGTCATCAGGTGAGATTTAATTAAACTCAAGGCAAATTCATAAACCGAAAGTACAAGAGTATGTCATTTTATAAAATTTAAATGGTACTTTACTATGAAAAATTTGAGGCAAACTAAAATAATTCCAGTACTCGTAGTTTAGCCGATTATATGTGTAATAAGATGACCAACAGACTATCGGCGTCAAACAGACGGAAGTGGCCCTACTTTGTCGTACTTTAGGGGTTACGAAATTTCCTTAGCTCATGCCAGTAGAATTACTAAAAAAAAAATGGCCGAGGGTTATTTCGATAGAACTTCGCTGGCCCCTGAAATACAGTCCAACAAATTCCGCTTCATTAAAAAATTGTAAAATTTGATTTTGCGAAATTTAATTTTCCTTTGTAATAACCTCTATAAATAAATGAAATTTGACAACAATCGCTCCAGCAGTTTCGGAGATTACCGGATACGACAGACAAACGGATGGACGGAAACGGAAGACCTATTTCTTCGTACTCCAGGAGTCATCAAAGGTCGTGAAAAAATAAAAGTAAAAAATCAGCCGATGGATTTGATTACAATACTTCCTTAGCTTACGCTCGGGCAATAAAAAACGGTGCACGGTATTTAGACAGAACTTTCCGCGCCCCTGAAGAGAACAGTATAGTTTCTGCAAACTACTACCGGACAGGGAAAATCATAAAAATGAAGGAACAATGAAAACCGCAATTACACCGCCGAAAGTACCCGAACTGTTCGATCTCCAAAGGCTCGGGTACTTTAGGCAGTCCATAGCTAGAACCATGGCGGCGGGAGACGGTCATTATTAATGGCCCCATCTGTACCAAGACTCTACCATAAATAAAATCTCTCTTGCTATTAGGTTACATTCGGGACTTCGTCAGGTCCGTATTCACCAAGTTTTATTGAACTAATGATAAAAACATTTAAACTGGTTTTATAATTTTAGCGTTAATAATAATTATAATACTTAAACATTATAATGTACAGGTATAAAAGAATAAAACATTTATTTACGACTTTACAACTACGTATTTAGCTAAGTAGAAATATAGAAAACGCAATAATGAGTTCTGTCCTGAGCAACATTTCTAGGATTTTTTAGGTAAACCGCCCGGCGACCGGTTAAAAGAGGTGATGTCATAATTTTCGGTACGTTGTAATCCGATTAGGGTCGTCTTTGTTGTTTAATTTTTATGATCTCCACTGTCGGTGGCAGTTCGCAAAAACTATACAACATATCCAGCTTTTTCGAATTATAAGACTTGATTTTGCGAATTAGATTTTTTATGATAATCACTATAAATTAATATAAAGATATGTATGCAATGGTGAAGTAAAGATAAAGAAGCGTTGTGTATGTATGTTTCAAGTGAGTATTTTCGTTATGAATACATTTAACAATTGGTCCGGTAGTTTTGAAGATTAAAATTCGACACAGACGGTGGACAGATAGACACACGGCATTACAATACTTTCTTAGGTCACGCTCGGAAAGTAAAAATGTCGACGAGACTGGGATTCGAACTCAAGCGCGCAGAGCTCAAGTTGCTTAATCAAAGTCAAGGCTTTACATCATCCTGCCACTACTTGAGCGAGATATCGGTTACATAAAACATGCGGTAAATATTGCACAATCATTTTTATAAAGTAATTGTAATTAAAAATCAAGGCAGATTCATAAACCACAAGCGTAGGAGTATTATTTTATAAAATTTAAATACCTTTTCATGTACAAAATTTTAAGAGGACGTGCGTTTTTAAATGTTAATCCATCAAAAGATTCGATCAAATTCTGAATTTGTCTCTCCAAATTAAGAAGTCTGAAAATATTTGGAAATAATGAACAGTTTAAAATTCACATCAATTACCCTTACTCATCCTAAACGAGTTTTTTTTTTGACATTAATAGACAGGCGACAAAATTTGTAGTCTTAAATCGTGTTCATAATGAATTGAATTATGTTTAGATATGTAAATGTACGATTAATAAAATACACACTAATCAAGTTGATGATTCTTCTTTAAACGTAAATATTTAGGCGTTTGAAGAAATTTTTTTTCGAGTTCGGATGATTGTTTAAAATTTCTGCTCTAGTTGACCATGACGCTTCATCAGCCGTTTGAATTTCACTGCTGACGTAGGTACGTTTTTTATTTTTGTTTTTCAGGTGAACGGGAATACTAGGAAATATTTTCTTCCCCAACTAATTAGCATAAACTGTCTAGAAAAAAATTATGAACGATAGAATAGACTTTTAAAACAACACTTAATTTCTCTTCACCACGACGAAGTAACGAGTTGAAATGCGATTCACTGCAATTTAATTTATCTGAATTTTATACATATTTTAAACGATAATAATATTATGAAATACTAAACAATAAAAGAGAACATTTCTCTAATGAATTGGCATGGAATTTTTGTGTGCCTTCTATCCCGAAAGGCAAATACCTTGTTGAAGGAACAATTCAGCGAATTGTTGAATTAACTAAATAAATAAATTCAGTCTGCAATGTAATACTCCCTAACTCAAGAGAAAGCCAAAACAAAATAAATTCACGAAACAATAAATTAAAGGTCATTTCGCATGATTATGTATTTTGTATAATCTCTGTAAATGGTGAATTTTCATTCCTCCATCTTTAAAAAACTAATCGAAAATACAGAAAAACTAAGTGATTTTGAAAGTGTTTTAATTCGGTACGCCTACTTATTTTAATACATATTTTAGCAGAGGAACAAAAAACTAGGTATAAGTCTTAATTTTATTATAGCGAGATGAGTCACGCATGCAACAAAAATGTAAATATTTTGTTCTATTTTCAGACAAAACTAAAACCCAAGATATTAAAGCAAGTGAAGGTGTTAAGCGATTTCTTACCAACTACGTTTCAGTAAGAAATCTTCAAATTTTTGTCTGGTATTTATTATCAAAAGTGTGACGCGACTTATGTATTTTTTTAATGAATGTTTTAAAATTGCGCATAACCGGCTCATTTTATGACTTGCACAATGGGTGTACTATTCTTGCAATTTAAATAATTGCTGATAACGTCAGAACTTTGAAAGCAGCAGCCAGTGTAGAATAACTAAAGTGATGGAGGGACCCTCTCAAACTTGGAGGCGTGTGACAGAAATAAAAGGTATATCTAGCATTTGTGCAGACTACTCTCTCTGACACACTGAATAGTGCTGGCATGCAAGACCTATTCGTCTTTTTATACCAATGCTGGTACCCTGCCTGCTGTTATATCAGCAAAAAAAAAAAAAGTCAAATCTGTTCTTAAATATTTTACCATGTATACAATCGTTAAACGTCGAAGTACACTTTTAATTCTATTCTATATGTATGCTGGTTGGTTTCCTGTTTCTTTGAAAACGAGTAATCTCCAAAATTATATATCTCTAGATTATACACAATCTCTGCAACACTTTGAAAATATTGTTGAAATTGTTTCCTAAAAGGTGTTTTTATAATCAAATCACGGCAAATCTTTCTAACGGTTAGTTACTTATTCATCCCTTCCCAGAAATCTGCTTAAAACATACATCAAGCAATTTGACTCGCATTTCCTGGAGTGCATCATTATCCAAGAATTTACTTTCGGTTTGTTGGTGGTAAAAACTGGGGGTACGGGACTGGTTGTGCTGATTGTAAAAACTTAAATTTTTTAGAACTACATACACAAGATATTTTTAAAAATGTATTTACCCATTTATTTAATCGATTATTAGATTTTATTTGCTTATTTTTAAGCATTTGTTTCTCTTATATTCGCAATTTTATTAGAGTAAGTCGACTTTTTCGATCGTGAACTTTATCATTTATTTTTATAGCTTAAAAAATCACTTTCAGATTTAACGATTCCCTTGCAAACGCAAATCAGAGGTAGAATAAATAAGTATAAAAACAAACCAAGAATTTTATAAATTAATCGATAAAAATAACAATTAACCACAATTAAATTATAATTACGCAATTGTTCTGGCATTTCAGATAAAATTTATCCAGTACTAACACAAACACACTGTTATACCCGCAATGCCAATAGATTTGAAATATGTCGAGGCTATAGTAACTTTTCGGTGGTGTGGGGATAATAATGTGTTTGAGTTTCAGGTTTAGAAGACTCTACATCATCCGATGATTACTTTTTTTTCTCAATGTTTTTCCTCAAAGGTATTAAACGATAGGCCCATCATTTTTGAAACTGTAACTAAAAAGAAAATACTTAAGCAGGACATTTAAATATAAATGCATACGGAAAGTTTCTGTTGACTCATGGCTTAACAAAAGTCCCAATATTACTTGTTTAAAGTGTTTTTTTTTATAAAACTACAAAAAATTATGTTCACGAAACTCTTGTTTTAAATAAAAAAAAGTACAACATACATAATGGGCTAAAAATCACTTAAAACACACAAGAACTCCTGAAAATGGGGTGATCCTGACGCACAAATTGATACAAAGCGAGGCTTTGTTCTTGGGATGCACAAATTACTTTTTCTACAACTGTGAAATTGAGTGTTTTTTTTTACATATTGTGCTTTGTGCTAAAAATTGCAAGAAAAATTTGAACCATGATTCTGCTGATCTCTCTTCTTGCAATAGAAAATTTTGACGTCAATCAGAAACAAAAGAGTGAAAAATATTCAATAACTAGCACGACTTAAGTCGGTTATTGGATCACACAAAATTAAACTGCCAATTTTCTACGTACTTTAATTCCACAGGCGTGCAAAATTTAAATGTTAAAACCCTGTTTTTGTTTTAACAACGGTTTCGCAGATTTGTTGTATTCCTAATTAAGAATATTAACTTCATTTTTTGCTATCATGTAAGGTTTATTGGAAAAAAAAAATACGAAAAACTAAAATGTAAGGAGTACACAATATTAAAGAAAAATTAGATATTTCTTCTGTGTGTCGTTATTTTGGGTAGACTTATTCGGCAAAATTTTGAGATGACGTCAACAGTTTTTTGGAGGGAATAAACAGAAATATTTTGATTAAAAATTTACCATGCTTACAATAACTTTGAAACGTCTACAAGATTTCAAAGCATTCGGTTATGTAGATTCAAAATTAAATTGTAAAATGTTATATAATTTTGATTGACGTATTCATAAACTATACGTGTAGAAGTATATTATTATGTTATTTTATACAATTTAAGACTATGTACAACTTTGTGATAACGTCATCATATTGTTGGGTGGGGATGATGAGATAAAGTTCGGTGATCGTTTTAGCATCTACATGGTGTTCATAATGCACATATAAAATTTGACAACGATCAGTCCGTAGTTTCGAAGATAAGAAAAATTCAGACGGACGACGGACCGACAGACAGAAACCGGAAACCTATTTTTTCGTACTCTAGGGGTCATGTCATGACACATCGAGAAAATATGGAAACAGCTAGTCGCCCGATGGACTTCATTACAATATTTCATTAACTTACGGGAAGTAATACGAAAAATAGTGAAATAGAATGACACAAGTGATTTTTTATTTCGAAAACGGCTTTGAACAACTTTGTGAAAAATAATTTGGATATAGGCAAATATAAGTAAAACGTTGATGGCTTATTAAACAGAAATAACATATTTTAAAATTCTAATAAAAAACTCGACGACCTTTTATAAATAATAAATTGTAAAACAATCTACAAATATTTTCTGTACTTCATTTAATTTGACTGCTGCTTTGACCATGTGAGCTCGTTCAATTATCAAAACGTTATAAAAGATTGACTCCATTTTCGTAAGACTCCCAAAGATAAAAACAAATGGGCAAAGAACTTTTGTGATCAATTTGATTATTGTCTGAAAATATATAGCCATCTAATTTACCACCGCATCGATTTTTCATCAAGTATTCGGCTGAAAAATGTATACAGCAAGTAGTTAGAGTGAATATCATGAAAAATATACAGTCTTGTGACACAATAAAGTTGTCAAATCCTGCTCAATACGAGGCACATTTTAGACGTTTTTCGGTTACATAACGTGGGAACTGCAGGACCTAATAGGCTTACTATTAATTAATATCTTCATAAAGGTTGCAGCAAGGAAACATATTTAAGGGGGAGAGTAAGTAGCCAGTATTGTTGAGACACTATAAACGTTAATTTTATCACACATGACCGTTTAGTCAGTTTTGACTACATATGGTGATGTCAGAATTCTATATATTTACTTTTAATATTAAAAATACCTAAGATTGGTTTCTTTGCAAACATAACATCTGCATTTAAACATTTGCAAAATTAGTTCTTAAAATTTTTGATAATATGTGTGATGTTGCAATGCCTCTGTTTACTTTCTCTTACTGTGTTAAATTTTCCACTTAACCTTTTACTGTAAACATTTGTTGATTTAGCCTCTCGACTTGACTTAGTGTCACATAAGACAAGATATTATTAAAATAGATTATATATAGACACATTTTAACAAATATCTTCATAATAAATTGTCACAAATGTATTACAAATTACTAATCGTTGTTAAAACCGCTATGCTCTCAAGCAGTTGTTGCCTAGAATGAGGACATATTTAAGTATTTGATTTTGAGGTAGGAACTTATTCAGCCTAGAATGTTCTACTTTTTTATGAACAATATTATATTAAATTAAAATCAGAAAAATAGTAAAATCGGCAACCATCACAGCAGAACTCAACAAAATGCATACATATATAGACCGTAACAATTATATTCTTACATTGGGAGGATGTCCGAGGTTTGGTTGATAACCTCCTGCGAACGGGACGTTCTTGTTTGGAGCATACGACTGTCCTCCGACGCCAGCTTGACTGACGTTGGGTATTGGATGGTTGCTGGCAGGTATAGCTGATGGGTTATTGGCAGAGTAATGTTGAGGTGCGTTGGGTACATTTAGTGAATAGTGATTACTTTGATGGGCAGGATTCGGGTGTGCGTGAGCGACAGTAGGGTTGTGAGGCAAATTCACTAGACTTTGTGGCATGTGGGTCGATGGTTGCCCATAATTGGTTGGTGTGCCTTGAGGATGCATAGGTTTGTTTAACTGAGTCGTCACCGGGGGATTCTGTGGTGTCGACGACGTTAACACAGGTTTCAATGCTGAATTCATTTTCTCACAAATCCAACATCACTGGGTCTGAAAAAAAAACAATATGTGGTTAAGTTGTATATACTGGGTGCTTGAGTTTATTCATTCCACTTTAACATCTTATTATTTGATACAAAAGAAGGTTGAAATTTAGAAGAAATCTATATCGCGTTTGGTTTCTTCGGAAATAACAGATAACTCTGAAATCTAGAAAGATAAATTGACATATAAAAAATATATATGCAATAGACAACTTAAAAGTGATGACTACTTGGCCTGTGATCACTATTTTCTTATTTTAATTAATCTGTTTGACAGAAAATTTTAAAATCGGGTATCGTACACGGATTGAGAAGTCGAATCTGTTGGTGAAAACAGTTCCATTATTCATCTATGAAAGTATACCAACACGACAGTCGCTTAGTAGGGTGCGACTTCCTCGCAATTTATGATTACTGACAGGTATTATTCAGATGAATAGTTCTTAATGAATTTTAAGCAAACAAATATTAAGAAACAATGACATCATTCTCCTACCTTAAAAATACAGTGCCCCTTACACAAAGTGAAATACATGTCTTAATTCATTGCACTTAATAAAAACGCGAAGTTCTCATTTTACAATCTACCATCTGCTTATAAATTCCACATTTATGTTAGAAAATGTGACCAATGATCATAATTAACGGTACCTGTGATCACACTGGGTGTCATAGAATGAAAGTAAAAATTTATGTGTTTACGCTTATGCAATTTACACCTAACTCTGATTTTTCACGCTACAACGATTAACGCATAATGAAGGAATATAAATAAAGCAGAAATGAAATAGAGAAAATTCATGAAACGGTAGTCGAAATGTTTAGAAATCTGAACTCGACAGTACTACTTTATCCTTGGAAATGCACCGACAAATTCGTGTGATCTAATCGCGTATGATTCACTGAATAAACTTCATATTATATGACTGTATAACGAAGCCACACATACAAACTTCCAACAGGTAAGGCGCGACACTCAAATCATTATTTCGGAACTTTATATTAAAATTTGAAACATTTTTCAAAAAAATTAACTGTTCTTGTAATTTCTTTTTATTTATGTATTTCGCTGTAGTAAAGGTCTCGCGCGGCGAATAAACTAGTGTTACCAAATATCTCCTACACATTAACACTGTCATATTTTTAGAAATTGTTTAAAATCCGTAACTACGCCTAATTACCACAAGTGTTAACTCATCATTCTAATGCATGCAATAAGACTGAGTGAATTATTACCGAAAAAAACATCATTTTAATTGGAATGCTACGTTTATAATAATATGGAGTAACTCGTTGAATTAAGTACAGTGTGTAAAACAAGGTACATATCATAAATTAGATAACACGAAACGTCTGAATAAAACTACACCGCAATTATGTGAAAATTACCTATTTTCAAAATGGTGGTAGTAGTTATCGATATGTTTCAAGAGTCGAGATAAAATTGATAAATAACACTTTGAAACACACTATTATTATTAAAATAAAGCTACAAAGGAAGCATTGTTACTGGAAAGTATTTTTAGTTGATTATACTCCTAATTTATAACGTTGTAAAAATTTGAAAAATACGGCTTGTTTTTATAAATATATTTTTCAAATTTCAACTACTTTATAGTGCCAAGAGCAATCGATAGGGGAAATTAGAAATTTTATTTTCCATTAAATGAACTGCCTCTATCAACTTTTTTTTAAGATTTATGAACAACGTTTAAAAATACTGGTACAATTTTTGTATAACATCATTCAATTAATCAACACGAAAAAGCAAAATTAAGAATTTTTACCTGCTCCGGTTTTATATTGCTGGAAAACATCCGTAAAACCAAACCGCTTAGAATTCTTTAACAAATTAAAAATGCCAAAGAAACATAATAAAATAGTCTTCGCTACAGTATGTTGGTGCGCCAAAAATTTAGGGATTTCCTGTTCATGATTAAGAAAGATATAGTGTTTAAGTAGGAGAATGAATTTCATTAACAATATTTTATATTGGAGTAACACCTTCAATTGTTTCAAGGATATGAACAATACAATATTGAACACCCGCTGGCATGTATTGGGATATAATTATTTCCTTTAAATAAAGAGTTATGACCAATTCCCAGTTAAATTTGAACGGCCCTCGTATATTACCAACACGTATCCGAGAGCATTTTCACGCCACAATTACTTTACAAATTTTAAATGTCTACGAATTGCTAAAGTGAAAATTGTAATTTGTTCCGCTACAAAATGATTACAAAAAGATTTTGTTAACAATTCCGATGTTAACATGTTTAACTACCGGTGAGTCAATGAATTGGGAAGTGCCATTAAATGTAACTTCAGAATTTAGAATTGTAGTACTAAAAATAAAAAAGTTGATTACTTAATTCGAGTTGCGTAACGACTACCAAAACTACAGTGTAAAAAGGAACACAGTAGTTTTATAATTTTGATTTTTCCAAGCACTTTGCTTGCGAACAAAGAGCGTATTAAACAATACCGCTAAAGATAAGCCGGCATTATTGCATTATTCGTTACCAGGGTAGTGAAGGAGTCAAAGGCGTAAAACTACTATATTCATTGGCACACTATAAACAAATGATCCTTGAAATTACTACCAGCGGGAAAAATTCAGACTTCCTACACTGTCAGAATCAGCTTCATATAGTAATACTTCAGAGTATTTCCTCTACCTTGCTGTGAAAACAAAATATTACCTCACCAATCGCCAAAGTAAACGCACAACATTACTTGAAAAGCTTCACACATTTAAAATATAAACACATTTTGATACATTAGTGATAACAACAATGGTATATTTACATGTTCTTTTAATATTCTCAAAAATTCATTACTATTGTTAGAAGTACAGAGAATTTGTTTTGAAGGTGTATTCATACTGTATACAGATATGCGAACATTTTCTACTAACCGCAAGTTGGGAGCAAATGTAGATTGTTCGAAAAACTTGATGACATGTATACACATTTCGTTTTTTAAATACCACACCACATTCACCAGCCTTTCAAAACACCATCACTTGTTACCATTCTACCGCAGGTTAATAAATTATAGTACTAAGGACTTTAATTATTTTGAATCAGAACTTGACAACTCATTCATTTCAATGGTTCACTTATTTCATTAAAAAAGTGTCACCACCGTGCATTCACTTCCCTATAACAAATGTTGTATATGCTAAGATCTTAACAGTACAGTCAAATGATATATCATTTGGATCAATACAGTGTGAAAACTAAGTAGTTATGGGAAAAGCTGATGAAAGTAAATTTTAGTCTTCTTCGTTGTGTTTTCTCTAAGAGTACTTACTCTTTTTAACGTCATTAAATGACATCATATATGCACCTTCTTTGATTGGAATGATACACACATGATTATTCTTCAAATCCCTGGTGATTGTTATTAGTTAACTAATATAATAATGATTAGCCATACCGTTAATACTAAAAACAAATACATAGTTCGTATCTGCAAGGGCCGGTGAAACGTAACTGAAAAGTCCAATACCATAATCCCACTATAGTCTTCCAAAGGTTCTAACGGTATATGGCAGGGTCCCATCGTTATGGAGTCAAATACCTGAAAAAAGAAGGTCATAATGAGGTGTTATAAATCCGACCGCAAGGGTGCACCTATGCAGTGGGGTTTATATTAACCCTATTATGACCGTCGTTGAATATATGACTCCAGAACAATGGGACCTTGCCATCTAACGTTGGAGCCTGTGGAAGACTATACGTTTGAAGACTATACTTCGCCAAACAAACCATTTTCCCCATTTCCCCAAGTGACGATATGTATAGTTTCCTCAAACCTATGAGGCGTTTATGGCTTTGACGTTTAAAGTACTTTACAGCCGACCCTTCATAAAGCTTAGTAAATGTAAACCATGCCACGTGCCAGGGACGGCCGAGACGCGAAGGACCGGACTAAGAGTAATTTTGTTTTTAACGTTTCTTCCGTACCTTAATTATTTAATCATTATTCTGCACATTTGAAAATATTATTAAGATACTGAAAGCAAAAAACATAAAATCTTTAATAAGTACGATCGCAATCATAGAAAACTGGTCCATTAAGTTTTTTGATAAATCAAATAATTTTGACGATGTCACCGTCCTTTGTTTCAAATCCAGAGGATACATTCATATTGCTGTTATAGTTATATTAAAAATAATACATGACTAGAGAGCGAAAAGTATGCAGCAAAATTTTGAGAAATATGATCATGTAATATGCATGAAATTTATGCAAATATGCTGTAACTTTATTAATATATGCAGAGATATGCAGTTGCATATCCTCCAAAAATTGAAAAGAAGTGTAATAACAACTAAATTTATTTACAAATTATAAAAACAGGTTTATCAGGCTTAAATTTTTTAATAAAAAATACATAGATAAATAAAATTTTTAAAAATTATTGTCTTACACTAAATAGTGACAAATAAATAAAAATTAATAATAATAGGCCATTTAATTAGTATTTTTGTAGCAATTTATTTTTAAATACTTTTCGAAATATTGTAGCAAAAAATTTTGCCGATGATCCGAAAACATATATTTGTAAATAGAAATGCGGTTTGTAGCAGAAGCTACAAAACACAGTGCCTTCTTGAAGAATAAATTCAGGAAAAGACCAGTACAGGGCACAGTTGATAAAACCGTTAATTGTTAATTTAGAAGAGTCGAGTGATGATGACAGTGACTATTTCGATCACTAAATAAGCAGTAGTAGTTAATAAGTAAATAGTTGTGTATGTCAAAATTCTAACTAATTTGCTGTAATAAAAAATGATTGAGTACAAAGTTACTTTGTTTTTACTTATAATAAAAAAATCGAAAGGCGCAGTTGTCGGTAAATGCAAAACTCAGTCTTGCCCTGTGCTTTTACTAGAAAAGGTATTTTCAGGTAGGTATCGGTGAGCGGGTTTAAGACATCCGGTTGTGACGGCCTATTGAATTATAATGGGAGTCAAATTGGTGTGAAGTCATAAA